CATGGGGGGGACAAAATGCAGAATATATGTGATAATGGATTTGTAAAATGTTTTAGTCACTAAAAAATGATTCTATCAAGCTCTACTCTTTTTTTACCATATTAACTCTTGTTTGTTTACTGTAAATCTCATTTAAAGTCGGTTTAATGTAAATTTTTCTTTGCGAAAAGTAATTTTTTTTTGGAAAAAAAAGTATGGTTAAGAAGTAGAAAGTACATGTGCAAAATTATTTTACTAAAAGGATCTGCAATGAAATATAAATTTGGTGAAAAATGAGTATTAAAGAATTTCTACCAAACGGACACTTGTACTCGTGGAAGGAGATGAGTACCATGCGATAAGTTTATTATTAGAAGGTAACATTCATATTTCTTTGTCTAGGCCAGATTTTGCAAGTCATCGAATTCGCCCATTTTTGTGTTATCGTCTTTCGAACGTTCTCTAATTTCTGATTTCATCTTGTACTTTCTCGGGTATTTAGTGATGTCATTTAATCACAATGGTAACAACTTAGCCCCTGCTTGACAATCATTTTTTTTTTTCATGGAATGAGTTTTTGGATAATAAATTTTTGAAGAATGTGTGGTTAAAAATTTGAAAAAAGTTTTGGATTTCGGAATATTTTATTGTAAGAATGTATAGTTGAAAACGAGTATGAATTTTTTTTTTTTGAAAGAATAATTGTCAAATAGGAGCTTAAAATCCAAAAGTACGATTAGACGTTCTATCTCCATCCTAAAGTGACACAGACCATCACATGGATTACAACCTGTGATGTGCTAATGTTATTGAACATTGTCATACTAGAACTAGTGGTGGCAATGAGTCGAGCTAAGTTGGCTCGCCCATCTACCCACGAGCTCGGCTCGGCTCGGCTCGACTCGTCAAAGTGACGAGCCGAGCTCTAGCTCGTTTGAGCACGAGCAGAACTTGTGAGGTCACGAGCCGAGCCGAGCCGAGTCGATGAGCTCGTGGTTTTTTGCCTTTTTAAAAAAATTTTCTTAAGATCTTTACGAGCCCATTAGCTAAGCTCGTGGACCATGTGTGAGCTTGCTCGGCTAGCCGGCGAACTTACGGCTCGGCTAGTGCCCGAGCCGACGAGCTGTTTGGCCCATTTGCCACCACCAACTAGAACGGACTATGGTTCCAAATGCTATGATCGTGGCTGGGATTGGCCAACATTTCTTTTTAAGTTAGTAATTCTTAGGGCTTGTTTGAGCCTCACTTTTGTACAAAAATAGATTTTATAATAGTAATTTTTTTAAAAATTGTATGGTTAAAAAATAGAAAAAAAGATGTGTGAAAAAAAATTGTTGGAAAAATGCTTGATTAAAAATGAATTTGAGAAAAAAAATAGATTTTTAGAAAATGAAGCTCAAACATAGACTTAATTAGTATACATACGGTCCATGTTGTCATTGTGCTTCTTCTCGTTAATCATTATAATATATAAAGAAAGTGAAATATTAATTTCAATTATACATTCATAACTATTATCCATAAATTTTTTCGAACTCATTGCTGCTTTTCATTATAAAATAATTGTTATAATTTCTCCCAAGCAAAAAAATTTTCGCGGTTCCAAAAATCTTCAAGGACACGAAAAAAGAAGCTTAACGATAACTATTTTAATATATTAAAGACTATAGTCATTTTGCCCGTAAAGATGACTGTTTAATAAAAGAAAATGAAATTATTGATAATTTCACACTTTCAACATATAAAAAGAAATAAGTAATTAACTAAATTTTAAATTTTAAATAACAAATAAAATTATTGTTTTACAATTACTTTTATTTATAAGTAATTTATTTAAAAGAAATATTTCAACCTTAATCAAATATGCATTTTATAATGAATAATGCTATTTATGTAAAATTTAATGAGTCTAATAAAGCAAGAATGCATTTTTATTCACAATAAATTTTATAAAAAAACAAGAATTTCATTTGATCCATCTCTCGCAGGCTGTGCAATTTGAAGTTGTAATTTGTCCTCACCGTTGTTACCTGCCAAAATCCTGTCACCATGCACACCATCATAATATGCGACATTAATCATACACAGTTTCCGAACTTCATTTCATCCATCTCTACATTCGCACGCGCGAAAAATAATCCTATCCCTTGGCCTAAGTCCCTTTTCTTTTGCAAATCTGTTCCAGCCCCTAGCGAACACGAAACTTGGGCTACTCTTCCAATAGCAGTAGCGAAACTTCCATGACTTCATTGATGGATCCAAAAATACCACTCCACTTCATCCATATTACCACCATTATTCTCTTCCAATTCATTTATCTGAGGGAAATACTTCGCAGCATACTTTATGGGAATGACAAGATGATTAAGCTTGCTAAAGTCGCTTGGTGTGAGTTCCTTCTGGAAAAGCTGTCGCCCTAAAAACCCCGTTGTATTGCGCAAAGTAGCCGGACTGTGACCTACTTGTGCTTGTGCAGACCTATAATCAGAAAATTTAGACGCATAGGAACTATCTTCGATCATGTTGAGGACTAGAATAGTACTAAACTGACCTTGGACGTTTTGCTCGTGGATAGTGACATCGCTCCAGGGGAAGTTGTACTGAGCGTCTCCATTACGAAGGTTGATAGCTGCACTGCCATCTGCCATTGCAGCTTCCTTCTCTGGCCTGAAAGTCCCGAGCCAAATGCGCTGATGGCTGGCAGATATCTGAGCACCCCAATGCCCATTCTGTTGGCTCACCACTCCTTTGAATTTCGAACCTGAGGCAGCGTATTCATGTTTGGCATACTTGTTATGAAGGTGGAAAATGCTACTGTTAGAACCGGAAACTCCCCCAGCCCCAGTTGATGTGCCACCTGATATAACACTTTGTTCTTCCACATTAAATCTGCAGCACAAGCATGTTGCTATGAGAAGCTGGTTATCATATGTAAGTTCCTGCATCCTCTTTAAATTGAACAAGAAATTCATTGAAGATGTAGCATCCAAACAATATTAATATCATTAGAAGACAAAATGCTGACAGTTGAAAATATGCACTCATTTGTCCAAAATATATATCCACTGCTACAAGTTACACAAGAATGCATGAAATTTTCAGAAAATGGTAGAAAGTACACATCCAAACAGTAGAAAGAATATAACCTTCTGTACAACTCTACACTCTCGAATATGTAGCATTTAGTTCCAGTTTTGCATGTAATTTAGATGTTTCATGCATGGAACAGCTCGTACAGTATAATTTCCAGTTTCCATATATCTTAAAATGATCACCTCCAAATTAGTTATCCTTGAAATGTTTTTGCACAGAATCGATTTTCATATCAGTACTGTAGTTAATCAACGAGCTTTTCCAAACCAAGAAATTATTTCATGAGTTCAGAATAATTAATTTACGTCAAGAAGTCCAAAATACCAGCTCCTTCAATAATTTAAAAAAGGAATTTCCAAATCCAAAAGTCAGGTAATTATTAAGGAATTAGGTCAAAATCTATAGAAACAACATGTCACTGAAATTTTTTTCACAAAAAATCTGATTTCAACATTTTAAAAAATCAAATAAGTTGAAAAATCTGAATACAATTATGAATTTCTGATTGCAAAGAAAATAGTCAGCTCGAAAAATATAAAACGGAAATATCTGATTGCAAAGACGATTATGAATTTCTTGTACAAAATTAGGATTTCAACTTGGTGCTTTCAGATTAATTCTTGTAATTTAATTAGATTCTTTTTTTTATCGTCCGAAATAAAAAAAATGTAAGATGTATTTCACATTGTATTAATCAAAATAACATCAGAATTTCACTTGGTAATACAAATATTTTTGAAAGCCTAAGTACTACTGAAGAAGGAAAATGGAAATGATTTCTGCATAACAAATGCTTTTAGATCATATGCAAAAATTAACATTAACAAATTAGGTCAGACATCAAATATACCTGCTATATTAGTAGGATCCAACACCATGCACCTAAAAATAGAAAGTGCTAGTGGAAAGATAAAACACGACAAAATGATATCATCTCTGCACAGTGTAGAGCAGGAGGATTAATGTTTGGAAAATGAATTAAGAGTCACACTTCAAAAGTAGGTTAAACATAGATACGAATTAGGTTTTTAGTAAATTTTTATAAAAGCTTGTAAAATGTGTAGTTGAAAAGTTGATAAAAATTGTGGATCTCTTGAAATGTGTGGTCGAAAATGAATTTGGAAAAAAATAAGTTTTAAGAAATGGGGCCAAACAAAGGCTAAATATAAATGCAGAGTTAGTTGGATCCAACAGCGTGCACCCAAAAAATAGAAAGTATACATGAAAATTAATAGAAACATGTTCAAGTCGAAATAAAATCAGAGCGCACATTGTAGTGTGGGAAGATAAACATATGAAAAATGAAAAGGAGACACCATAAAAGTAAGTTTGTCATATAAAATAAAACGCTGAATTAGTAGGATCCAATACCGTGTGTCCAAAAATAAAAAGAGTTTATGTAGATTGATAGAAACATGTTCAAAACGAAATGAAATCAACTAGCGCATGAAGATTACTGTGTGGAGGAAAAATGAGCTACAAACAAAAGTAAGCCAGTTATATTAAATATAAACGCTAAATTAGTAGAAGCCACATCGTGCACCCAAAGAAAACAAAGTATTTTCGTAGGTTTCGGTCTAGAAAGGAAAAAGATAAGGTGATAAGGTCTCCAATTCATAGCGCACACAATTGTTGCACTATCATATCTCTGGCCAAAGCCCCACCCATCACACAGTTGGAAAAATTACATTAATAAGAAAATTGGCTTACATTTTCCCAATCCATAAATGCAACAAACTCGACAAGGCTTCATCAAAATTTAACTTTTGACAGGAGAGATTAATTACGCCTAAACATGTAAAAGTTTCCTTGAGACAACTTCGAAGATTATATATGTATATTCAAGTTAAGATGATCACACAAATAGAATGCTAGACTTACAACTAGATACAAGTTCCTTTAAGACTAGGAGTTTCATAAATGTATCCAATTGCAAGGAGTTTCAGGCTCAGGAGCTGTGTTCAGGAGTAAAAATTCTGTTAGCTACAAAGTTTGAACAATATTTACAGTCCACACAACATATATAATTAAAGTACAACACACCAGTATCATACTTCCTATTACCAACCTATCTATATTACTAGAACTGCCCAATTGTCATCTTTCATTAGTAATACCACAAAATTACATAAAGGAGAAACACAATGTAACTCAAGACAGATTATTGATTTGGAAAATTGAGACATTTCTGTGCAACAAACTGGATACCATTAAACCATAAAGGAAAAGATCGGGACATAATGTTGCTCCTTTGTCCATTCATCGCAGTATATAGAGACGTACCTGAATCCAATGTCAATTCATGAAATCGTGTAGAATCTTTTGAAGACTTCTGGAGGCCGATCAATATGAAATAACAGAACTTTGTCCAGGGAGTTAGGAGTAGAATCCTGATTAGAAATTCAGTAACCTTGCTTGAAGAAAAGCAGAGAAACTTCTAATGCAACTTCAGTATATACTGTTTACTTAATTTACATTTATATATAAAATAATAATATCAATTAACATTTTTACTAGGAAGAATACACAATAAACTTTCATCACAATGTTACCATCTCTCTTTCTCTCTACAATAACATGGGAAATGTTCATGCCGCAATTCTATAGTAACGCCCTAAGAAGCATGGACACGCCATGGACACATTAAGAGGGTGTTTGGTGGGGATTAAAATTAGATTTTTAATAAATTGTGATATAAGTTTTTGAAATGTGTGGTTGAAAAGTTGTTGAATGCATGAAAAATGTGGTTAATATTGATTGTTTGACTTGAATTAAAATTAGATTTTAATCCGACCAAACAGGGGCTAATTAAAATTCTTTAAAACATAATAAAATAACACTTTTTAGTTTTGATTTGTGTTAGATAAATCTTTTAAATTGGATAAGTAGCCATTAGTTGTATTATAATAACTTTGAGTTAAACTTGTATAAAAAATACGATATGCCATACGGTATATTGGACACGTCTTCGAGTGTCCGAGGAATATCGGTGTCTAACCCAACACATACTAATAAGAGTGCCCGTGCTTCTTAGTTCACATCAAGTATTGTACCCCATACTTAAAATCTACCAAGTAATTTTGAATTGTTATTTAGACTCCATTTAGCAAATTTATAAATTATTATTTATTAAAAATCAAACTTTATTTTCAACCACAGATTTCAATGGAACCACAAGTACAATTTGCTTATACACTATTTATTTATATCTATTTATAAATTATATGGTCTATAAATAGTATTTCTTGGTTTCGTTTTCTCCTTTCTTATCTGTTGTTGGGCCTCAAGATTGTATTTCTTGGCTTAGCAATCTAGGGTTACAATATTTACAAACAAGTCCCACAACATACACTTCTTTTCCCTAACCCTGATTTCACCACATAGTCTTGTTGATAGCACAACCTTTAAGATGATCTGGGTTAATAACCATTTTGACTAGAACTTTCCCAAATTTCACAAGGGGAAATAATGCAAGAAATGAGCCTAAGCAATCAAATTGCATGGGAAACTAGCAGACAAAAATTAATATTTTCTTTCTTCCATTACATGTGAAGAAAAAATTAATGAAATTCATATGGAAGCAAATGCATTGAAATTTAGGAACATAAAACTAAGGCGCAAGTAATGACAGCAAATAGATCTCATGTCATTTGGTTTCTATAGCGAAAGAAGGGCCAAATGGAAAAGTGAGGAAACAAAACAATCATCTTGGACAATCTTGTCCCTATTGTCCAACTGTATCAAGTACTGCATACCAAACATATTGTAAATGCTAAAAAATCTAGCTTACCAAGTGGAACTTTGGAATTTAAATTGAAGTGGAACTTTGGTATAATGATGGCAAGAACTACATTCTATTTTTCTTCAGTGTTCAGATTATGAAAAATAAATCATTTAAACTCGAGATACATGAACACTGGGCATACCAAGTAAGGATATCCAATTGATATGAGGAGAGAACTGCCTTAATATGAATTAAAACACTGGAAACAAATTTACTTTTCTCATATAAACTTGCATTTATATAAATTTAATAAATAAATCTAAAATTTACTAAACTTGGCATAAATACAATGATGAAGACATGAAGTAACACACAAAAGATATGCTTTTGACATTAAACCGTGGTACATAATAGAAATGCACGAGCAAATCAATGTTTATGGACCAAAGTCCTCACTAGACCTCGAAAGATATATAAAAACAAAAATATTCAGTGCCGAAATTTTGTTATAAGAATCAAAGTAATTGATATAGAACATGTTCAAATGTTATTAGAAATAATTTACACCAAATGCGAAAATGCAAGAATGCACAATCATCATATGACGAAGACATTGTATTATTGCAAAAAATAAAAATAAATAAATAAAATTACAGACTGTCAACTATTCACAAAAATTAATATAATTCCACACAGACAAAAAAACAAAAAATACTTCCAAGCTTTTTCAATATTCAATTAACAATAGGAACTTAAAAAATACCACTGCAGCTTTGTCTTGATCACCCAATTATTCATATAAAATCGATCTATTTACGACCTCGATAGCTTGAAATTGTATAGAGAAATTTCCTCATGTGAGATTCTATGGGTTCGTTAACAAAATAATATCTACAATGGTTGGGAAATCTCACGCATTTAAGATTGTTTAACATTCTTAATGACACTCAAATAGTCCACTGGCATAACAGTTGTGGAATGAATGAATTTAGACCCATATATTAAGATATGAACCAAACATACTAGAGAAAAACAATTCATGTAGCTGATGTGAAGTTTATTGAAAATGTAGCTCAGTTTGTTGTTGTATATCGTACATCTTATAAATTGTTGAGAACGATTTTTCTTCCACGAATAATGGATATATCCAATTAGATCCCTTTTCGATGACAAATAATAAATTAATTATTTCACAGTTATCTCAACCTGCTTATCTACTCGAAAGGCCATGGTGGAACTAGATATCAATTCTGTCGTGGGAACCAAAAAACATAAATACAGTATATATCAGTTCAGTCCATCTTCTTCATGGAACAAAAAACTTTCAAGCTCAACATCAGGAATAAAAGGCCTCGTATATCATAGAGAACATTATGCACTCTTACTAATTAACAAAATCTGAAAAACGTAAGAGGTAATTGTCTTATTTATCAGTATCCAAATCATTTACTTACTTGGAATGAAATTAATGTTTCACTTCCAATGAGCATTAATGGAATTCCTAAAGATGTTGTAAGTGAAAAGAAACAATAGCAAACAGAACTTATTATTTAGGGTCCAGGTCCTTCCCCCACCATCAATCATCATCAGAAAGTCGGACCTTTTACCGTTTTTTCACACTATATATTGACCCTTATTGATCGGACAACGCTTTTTTCCCTTCTTCGCAACGAAATAACTATAATTTAACCTTGAAAATACGCTAATCATTTGAAAGAGTCCTCAGAATACGAGAACATAACACGAGTATTATCAACACGAAAATCTATCAATTTTCTTCCAATGGAGATCTCTATCAAGACTTCTTTAGACTACATGATCCATGAAGAAATGAATAATTAAATGCCCAACTTTTCATTAAATTACACGTTGACCGTTGAAGGATGGAACACTAAATGTCAATGTTCAATTAATTACAAATAAACATCAAAACTGAGTTCATAAAAGAGAACACAAATCTCCTGCGCGAAAGTTCACATATATAATAGAAACAATCTGGATTTAGTGTCTACAAGAGCAACAGGCTTCCAGCATTTCGAGGTGTTAACTAATTTTCCCCCAAAATAGGATATATAAACATGAAAATTTGAACATCAACACAAATATAAAATTATGGTAGCATGAAACCAAACCAGTATATAGAAAAAGTACCTGAGAGATTGAGTTACTGTATATCGTCCCAATACCAAGTATTAACTGCTGTTAAAACATAAATCGCAATCAGGGCTTATACAATTGGAAAATGAATTAAGGAAAACCAAGGAATAGTAATAAAATAAATAATCGGGAAATTCTGAAACCTGTAAAGGAATTTCCTTTCTTGTTCGCAGAGACATGACTGTATGCATATATGGCCAATGAAGGAAACAAAAATGTTCTCATATTTGAGTTGGCATCCATGATATTGCAATTTTCCATGAGAACACTTCTACAAACAATAGAAAAATCAAATATTACCGTAACCAGCAGAACCTACATCGTTTAAGAAAACAAAATTCACATAAAATATAAAATCAAATATTACCTTTACAAAGAAAAGTACAAGTTTTGCATAAAAGGACCTGTCTTGAGAAACTTAAGGCTGACATTGCTGAAGGAATAGATCGAGAATTGAGTAAATTATTAGCACAAAAATAGAAAAATAGCAGAAAAACAAAGTAGTTAGGTTAATGTATTCTTCTTTATTCCCAAGATGGCCCTAGAAAACCGCAATTTTTCCGTTAATCAGAACAGTAACCAGGCGTACCTTCCCAACTCCAGCATCAAAAATCACGCTCCACGGGACCATCAATCATGGCATATTTTTATTTGGATAAGGTAAAACCCAAAAAATAAAAAAAGAAGAAGAATTAATTGCATAAACAAAACCACATCAAGAAAAATGAAAAAATAAATTGTGGGTGCTAAACCTCTTGATTCTGCTGTAAAGACTTCCTTTTTCCTCAACTACAAATGACCTCAAGCTGTGAAATTTGTTAGTGTGTTTGTGGCCAAATACAGTGGGATTTATGATGTTTTATAATACAGAAAAAGAGGGATCTGTCGGTGCTCTCGTGTCATGTGGTGGTGGTGATGGTGGTGGCACTGCAGCGGCAGCATTATATGGATAGGCTTGAAGTGCCTTATCAAATGGCTATTGGCTAATATTTCGGTCAGTTTCTGGAATTGCAGGAGGCCTCTTTTCAGCTTTTTTCACAGCAACTTAGGCTGAATAAAGGGGGAAGAGTGATAAAAGCAACCAGAAAGGGGAAATCGAGAAGGAAGGCTGACAGAAAGAGTAGTGAGCACGCGCATCCACAAAGGTATACTTTTTATACAATTGTCTGCGTGTGCTCACTCTCTTCTGTCAGTACTCTTATCGATCGTGTCCTTCTGAAACACAAAACCCATAGATTTCTTGACAGAGATATACTCTACATGTTTTTTTTTTTTTTTGACTAACGTTAATATCAGATCTGAAAACCAAAGACACTCCCACTTTTGGAAAGAAAAACCCACAAACCCTTTACTATAAAAGCTCATACAAATCATTAAACAACTAAGGCTTTAGAGTCACTGTGTTCATACTTGATATTCAAAATTCATCTATTAATTTTTGCGTGCTGATAAAACATATATTCCCCCCCCTCCCATACAAGAAAGTCTGAATAGAATCTTCATTTTCATTATCTTCATGCATCCAACTAATCAAGAAACGCCATTGTCAATTTCTATACTGTTGATTCGAGAAAACACTTTTACAGAAGACCTTAAAGAAGTGATTATAGTAGGGTGGGGAGGGTACGGTATCCATGGCATGTGAGAACTTTAACTTTCTCCTCCACTACATAATTGTGGTTTGGCTATTATCCATCCAATCAATCCCTTCATCAGCGTACACCAAAAGGACAATATCACATACAGGTAGGTGGGGTTTGAATAAGGCTTTAGAAAGAGCGAGAGAGATTTCGATGACGGATTGGTTCTGCAGTTGTATTTGAGGCTTCGCGGAGAAACAGCTTAATGTCGGATTGACTAGCTGGGTTCTTCTAATGCCAACTTGCCAGGATTGTCACAGAGAAGAATTCTAAGCCGTTGGATTAAATGCTTGGTGGGGCCCTTTGTTCTTGACGAATGGTTGTTATTGGAAGTTGCAGCACTGATGATGAAACTGCGTCATTTCAGGGAGACAAGGATTCAAGACTAGTTGAAAGGAACAATAGCTTTTTACAAATAATTAAACGAATTTTTAATTTTTGGTTCTCCATATTTTAAAGAAGATGGTGGCATAGGTTTGACTCGGAGCAGGCGTGCTTAAGATTTTTTATATTTATGTTTATTGTCCCCGTTAATTAATTAAATCAAATGAGTGGAATAAAATTGCACCTTAAATTTATTTTAAATTTCATTATTTTATCGGTATTGTCCAACTTGACGAGTTATCAATNTACTGGCATAAAAGTAGATACTAGACAAGAAAAAAATATACGCGAAACCGGCGGTTTAAAACCGGACCAAACCGTTAGGTTTAGGTTTGAGTTTTTTTCAAACCGGTCAAAACGGTTTGGTTTAGGTTTGAGCTTTTCTCAAACCGGTCAAAACGGTTTGGTTTGAAAATTTGTCAAAAACCGCAAAAATCGGACCGCTTACACCCCTGCATCTAATGCCAACTTGCCAGGATTGTCACAGAGAAGAATTCTAAGCCGTTGGATTAAATGCTTGGTGGGGCCCTTTGTTCTTGACGAATGGTTGTTATTGGAAGTTGCAGGACTGATGATGAAACTGCGTCATTTCGGGGGGAGAAGGATTCAAGACTAGTTGAAAGGAACAATAGCTTTTTACAAATAATTAAAGGGATTTTTAATTTTTGGTTCTCCATATTTTAAAGAAGATGATGGCATAGGTTTGACTCGGAGCAGGCGTGCTTAAGATTTTTTATATTTATGTTTATTGTCCCCGTTAATTAATTAAATCAAATGAGTGGAATAAAATTGCACCTTAAATTTATTTTAAATTTCATTATTTTATCGGTATTGTCCAACTTGACGAGTTATCAATACTATGAGTATTGTTTATTGATAGTGAAAGATGGCATCAAAATCGCTCGTGAATATAAATATCGTGATCAGCCCCTACACAGCATTACTCGACTAATTCAGGCTCGTGAGATTGATAAAATTACAGTATGGTAGCAATTTAATACGATAGATTGTTGTAAGCAATGTTTTAAAACTTGGATGGCATGGTGGTTCGACTGAAAAATAGTAATTGGCTGTCAATCCAGTTCAAGTTGTTCTGTTAGACCTTTATACGATCGTCTCGGTAAAAAGGAAAAAAAATGGAAAACATAGAACCAAAAAGGGGAAAAAAAAAACGAGCATATATGTTCATGCCAAACTGAGTCTATTTTATTTTCAGCGTTACATCGAGAAATCAATCCTAATATTTGTCGATGATTAAAAAAAATAATCATGCTATAAATATAGAAAAATTTGACAAACAGCACATGGCGGGAATTGATTGGAAGATGGAGTGAGAAAAAAAATAGTCCAATCATTTGAGGCCACATTAATGTCGATAAGAATTTTGTCAAAAAATTCCATGTGCTCGTGGCTTTTTTCAAAACGAAACATCAACTTAAAGGGCACCTCCACTGCCTTCAATTAATAAACCTTCAACTGTTTCTCAAACGAATAGAGAATCGCTGTCAAATGATATATATCACGATTGATGATATGTAGCCCCACTAGAATTACAATTCCAGATTATATAGCTTTAGATGATATGGTAAATGAAATGTGAAATTAAATTTCACACATCATTTAATATCGCATTAACGTCATCTAACGAATCTAAATAGCATTACTCATATCGCTAATAATATCATTATTATAAGCATTTGCCATAAATTTATGGGGACAAATTAGGTTGATATTTAATGAGTGCAATACGTATGGTTGCTTTCAACTTGTCTTCTATCCTCTCTCTTTGCATATAGGGATCAAGATTTTAATTATTACCTGTTTGAAAATAGATTATAACTGATTTAAATTATAAACAGATATAAACGAGTGGTGAATAAGTATATAATAATATTGTGTCTCACGAAATAATGTGGATAAAATGTCGACTATCACATCGAATGCGTTATCGATCAATTGAACTCTTTTCATTAGCTATACTAACGAGATAGAATTACTAGCGTCAATGAATTTTTAAGTTTAGCAATTACATAGAAAATAAGGTAAAATTTCAGCATAATTTCAGCTATAGCACAACTATAGTCGTCAACTTTTGTAAGTATTGATTAATAAGAAAATTCATCGATATAAATTTAGTGGATCCCTCAAATTTTACCCCAAACCCTATTCATCCATTGTGAAAGTGGAGAAAAATTGGACTAGAGAATAAAGGGCCATTTGTTTGGAATTTTGAAAAGTTTGTTGCTGATATTAAGAAACTAATTTTGAATATGTTTGAATAATTTTTAAAAATATTTTATCTAACTAGGAGAACTTTTATAGAAAATGACATAAGATAATTTTTCAGAAAATTCTTATACAAAAAATAGAAATAAAAGAAAAATCTAACCTAATGGGACCTAAATCATTATCAAGTTAACAAATCAAAAGATTATTGTGTTTTAACATTTGCCGGAGTCGCACTATATTTTGATGCATTCTACTTTTTCATACCCGTATTATAATTTGAAGGGAGAGGGCCCGTTCGGCTCATCCTCTATACATTTGCAATTGCCACCGCGGAATACCGATACAATCTTGCTATATTATCAGATAGATTTGTGATCTTTTAAAAAAAAAAGATTTTGCATCAACCATTTGTTGCCACACATTCATCTGTCATCTAAAGTGTCAAATTCATCTGGTATAGTGGCATTACTGATACCGATATTATAGTATGAATTGTTGTCCCTACCTAAGAGGGAAAAGATAAAACAAAACATCCATGCAAAATTTAATTAAAATTGGGAATATGTTACATGTTTATGATATATTCGATACGAGAAATTTGAATAGAATATTTGATTTCTTGATCTGCACGTACTATGTTTACTAATAGTTTTATTATCATAATTTTGATTAAAAGTTGGACACGATTTGTTAAACTGGTGTAAAGACGTCCAACTAAATTGTTGTATGAAGGAGTGTGGTGCATCAGTTGAGCAAGAACGTACTAAAAAAAAGTTTAAATAAACTATTAATTATCTTTCAATATACATACAATTTCGTTATCCGACTTGAAGATTGAAATATCTAACTAAGAGTAGCATTAACATTTTTCAAAATGCTAATACCGTTACAAATCTAGAGTGTGTTTGATGCACATTAAAATGGAA